TACAGTAGCGCTGGCTGAGGTCATGCTGAGCCATGCAGCTCACAGCACACACCTAGAAGTGTGTCAGCTTGACCAACCACTGTACCCATACTGCAGGTTAATCTTAGTAAGGTGACACATACCTTATGCATTTGAACTATTTCCAAACTAAATATGCCAGGCCTCTGACTGCAATGCAGAGCGCGAGGTTTCGCCCGCCAGCAGCATTCCGTCCTCTGTAATCATCAGGAAGGACATAAAGCTCTACAGAAACCGTGAGAACTCAAGGCCCTGAAAGGACTGAGAGCAATGAGGAAATCTTAAAGTGAACCAGTTGCACATTCATGTACATTAGGACCAGACAGTTTACAGCAGGACACTTAAACCCCTCACATATTCACAGCTTATCCTTAAATCCGGCCTATTAATCATTAGTTCATTTCCAATGGCTAAATATTTACTGACGGCTAGATTAGCTTCACCCGCTGTGGCTGCTTACTCAACGTAAGCTCTATAAATCTTGGCCTAGACTGATTATTACGATATTAAAAGCAGAAAGAGAGCGATGCATGCAGGATCAACCGTTCACACGAAAACCTGACGCATCACGAACGCTGCACGGCGTAATTTAGCTACAGCTAATTCAGCTATAATTCTTATTTAGGCTGATAGTTAGTCAAATCTGCAGTTGTGGATTCTTTCATTACATATTCTTTTCAGTGACACAGTGTGTTAATTAAGAAATGAATAGAATTATCAAATGAATCCACTGAGAACACAGATTTAACTGCTCACTTCACTCGCAACAACCTCGCGTTTGGTGGGAATGCTGATGCCAAGTCGGCCTGATTTAATTAACACAAAAATATTTATTAAACATTGGTTATATGGATATATACCACAACTACTTACAATAAAAATAATAATAATTTAAAGAATTATCAACAGAATGTACTCAGAACACAGACTGAACTGCTCACTTCACTCACAACAACTTCACTTATGTTCAGTGGGAATGCTGATGCTTTCACAGTAAGAGTCCCCCATAGTTCTACTGTTAAATGTAAGTTGGCCTGATTTAATTGAAGACTAAATTATTTATTAAATACTATTTATTAGCTATGTAGATATACACCACAACTACTTACAATAATAATAATTGATTTATTATTTATTACAAAATGTGGCTTGTAGTGGCAGAAGAATAGCTAACAAACACTAAGATGTGCTTGAATGAGTGTGTATGTTATGTTATGCAGGTCAAATTCATACTTCAAATAATGATGGGACACCACAGCTCCCTCCTGTGAGAGGACCACCCAGGCCTTGTGGCCTAGTGACTCGTGGGTAATTTCAAGATATCCCTGGTTTACAGTTATCTTCTTGTAAATCCATCAAGGCTGATTCTAGCTGCAGCTTCATGAGCCATAAAAGAGCTCTGACATGACAAGCAGACGCTTCCTTATTATTCATCGCTCACCCCGACCTCCTTATAAGGCCTCCTCCGGAGACAGCGGTCTAATCAGTCATGCCGCAGGCCATGCTTTAAGCATGCAGGCAATCGCATTGTTCACAGCACTGAAACTGTCACTGTGACAAAGTTTCAATCCACACTTTCCAGGAAAAGAAAATGTATATTAGGTGCTTTTCTGGCGCACGTTTTGTAGCGCACGTTCACTTAGACGCCCTCCAGCAAACTAAAGGAAGGTAAACACACACTCTGTATTCTAACATACATAATGATATCTTAATAAAATAATGTACAAAAGTCAAAATCCACCCTTCATTTATTGAGTTTCTACCCCAGAGTCCAGACCTCATCACTGAGTGTGTTTGGGATTATAAACCAACTTCTAAGACTGAACTCTGGAGGTGTTTCAAGAGTTTCTTGAGAAACCAAAAGTAGATTATGGCTTGTGGTGGCAGATGAATGGCTAATAAACACTGACTAAGATGTGCGTAAACGAGTGTATGCCATGCAAACCTCAAAAAATGATAGGACACCAGTTTTCCGCTCTGCGAGAAGACCACCAGGCTAGTGACCCCCAGGTAATTTCCGTTTAGACCCCTGGTGTACAGTTATCTTCCTGTATAGGTCCATAAGCAATAACAGAGCCCTTCTCATCACTCGTCATTCATCCTGAGCTCCTTATTTGCTGTATTACAGTACAGCTCCTCTGTAGCATCACGCTGATTTACACAACTGTACAAATGTTCATATCCTTCTGTAACATTCTGTATATAATAGTCATTATATTACGTCTACTCAGGCCTGCGTATGCATAGTCATTCATATCTGCCTAAGATCTCTAGCTCCTTCCACATTGGCCCTTTATTATTCTTTATTCTATTTACTGTATTGTTACTTTATGTCTTAATTAAATACTTGTTCACTGTCTGTTAGCTCGTCTGGCCTGTTCAGTATGTTGAACGTCACGAGTGTGTGTGAGCACTGATTCTGATCCTGATAAGGCCTAAATCAGAGGCAGCAATCTAATCAGTGAAGCCACAGGCTGTGCATTAGGTATGCAGAACGAGTCGCTCAGCAGAACCGAAACCGCTGTTGCGACAAAGCTTCACATGACATTTTCCAAGAAAAGGGGTTTTTTTGGCGCGCGTTCTGTAGCGCACGTTCATGTAGATGCCCCCAGCACACCAAAGAGAAGACGGCTGAACACACTAGCCTAAGTACGCTAACATATACCATGATATTTCGCTGCGATACTGTGACCACCCTTCGTTTATTCAGTTTCCACCTGTCTGACCACCCCAGAGTCCAGACCTTAGAATCACTGTATGTGTAATCTGGATGGTGAGACGCAGAAAATGCTAAACCAGCTTCTGAGACTGAACTTTTGCTTCAAACTGGAGTGAGGAACGGACGTCTGTTTAAGGGTGCTAAACAGGCCGTGATGTGTGGTCACTCCATCAGTCTGAGTGGACACAGGAGCCACAGTGGTTCTGATCCACATACAGTACACAGATGGAGAGAAAACGCCCACGCTGCCCGGCTTTTCCCTTTGGGTCACTGAATTTATACACTTGGCCTACTTTCGCTCCAAATGCTAACGCTAATCTGGTAAATTATGTAAGATTTGCATATAGGAGTGAAATCAAGGATCGTTATGGTAGAAAATTATATTGTTTTCTTTCTTTCTGTCACTCTTTCTTTCTGTGGAGATGTTCTGGGCCATTTTTCTTGCCTCACAAGCATTTAATTTCCTTCAGTACATGTAAATCTAGTTATTATTATTATGTATTTATTTATCATTAATTTATTTATTAGCTTCACATGTAATAAGTTAATAAGCTAAATATCAGCACTTTCATCTCTTTCTGGATGTATATGATGGAAATCAAACTGAAAATACTATAGAGTGCTTATAATAAGGTTATTATTATTATTATTATTATTATTAGTGATAATATAAAATGTCATAAGTTAAATTAGGTATAAGTACTTTTTTGTCATTCTGGATGCTGGAAATCAAACTAAGAATACTGTATCAGCTCATTAAAAGCTGTTATTATTAGTATTATTATTATTATTCTCCTGATAAGAATGGAAGGTAAAGAATGACATGCTAATATCTGAAACGTCTGACTGACAGTATATTTTGATGTTGAGGCTTCTGTGTAATTTCCTCTTAAATGTTTCCTTCCGAAAAAAATGAACAAATCTCTGACTCACAGTATTCACACATATTCCCTTATTACAAAAGCCTTAGCGGTTAGCCACTTAGCCTTGGTTTAAACCATGATCTACTGACCTCCTCTACGATCCCAGGCTTGTTAGACCCTGAGGCTGATTACTTAACACCTACTCTAAACAATGCAAATTGTCTATGTTATTATTCAGCAACAGGAGTGAGTAACGCATAATATCAGTCCTGTAATTTTGTGATTGTTTAACACAAGTTAATGAGCTGAATAAGAGAACCTCATTGATGCTGGGAACCAAACTGAGATCACTACAAGGTCTGCCACAGCTGATGTTGTCCTAACGCCCCTCAAAGCTGATTGGCTGAGCTGGTTTAGAGTGAGTTCTGCAGCCCTCTGCTCTTCCTCTCAGCCTCGTCACGGCCTTTCAGCCTCTCTCTCCCCAATGACTTCATATTTCCTTCTCTTCTCTGTCTTTCTTCACATCCTTTCTTTTCTTTTCCCTTTCTGTCACTCTTTCTTTCTGTGGAGATCTGGGCCATTTTTCTTGCCTCACAAGCATTTAATTTCCTTCAGTACATATAAATCTAGTTATTATCATTATGTGTTTATTTATTATTAATTTATTTATTAGCTTCACATGTAATAACTTAATAAGCTAAATATGAGCACTTTATCTCTTTCTGGATGTATATGATGGAAATTAAACTAAAAATACTATATAGAGTGGTTATAATAAGGCTATTATTATTATTATTATTATTATTATTACTAGTGCTAGTTTGATACATCATAAGTTAAATTAGGTATGAGCACTTCATTGTCATTCTGGATGCTAGAAATCAAGCTGATATGAGTGATTTATTATTATTATTATTATTATTACTATTAAGTGTTAGATTCACATATAATAAGTTAATAAGCTAAATATGAGCACTTTCATCTCTTTCTGGATGTATATGATGGAAATTAAACTGAAAATATTATAGAGTGGTTAAAATAAGGTTGTTATTATTATTATTATTATGATTATTATTAGTGATAAGATAGTATGTCATAAGTTACATTAGGTATGAGCACTTTTTTGCCATTCTGGATGCTGGAAGCAAACTAAGAATACTGTGTAAATTCATTAAAATGTATTATCATTGATATTATTATTATTATTATTATTAGTAGTAGTAGTAGTAGTAGTGACACTTATTGAGTGATAGTGATATGTTATATTGACTGAGTGATATATTATAAGTTCATAAGGTGGGTATTTCCACTTTTTTGTCTATATGTTGGAAATCAAACTGATATTCCTGGGTACGGTGATTATTATTATTATTATTATTGTTATTAGTATTATTATTATTGTTGTTGTTAGTATTATTATTATTGTTGTTGTTAGTATTATTATTACATCTGTGAGGCCCCGTTATAATCAGTGTGAGTGCGGATGTGAGCTCTGGGCCCAGCTGACCGTCTCTGCATGTGAAACTCTGGGAGATTTCAGAGTTGAGTAACCTCACTGTGGCGCTGGGCGGGGCTTCCTCGGTGGGCGTGTCACATAAAAACAGCATATAAACCTGTGCACTGCGCACGGACAGACACACCGAGCTCGAGACACACAGAGAGAGCACGAGCGCAACAGCTAGACAAACAGAGAAAGAGCACGAGACCCACACAGACAGACAGACAGACAGTCATCATGTGCAGGTCCGACCCTCAGAGCTTCACCCTGCCCGCTCGCAGGACCACCGAGCCCGAGATCTTCACCTTCGACAGAATCCCTGCAGCGCAGCCGGTGCAGCCAATGCAGTGCGCGCGCCCTCGCCCTCGCCGCCGCCCGCTGCGCGTGCTGTACCCGAGCACGGGCCGGCGCTACCTGCCGCGCGCCGAGCGCAGCCCCGCCAAGCGCTGGCTGCTCGCGCTCTGCCTGGTGGTGCTGCTGCAGATCTACTCCGAGGATGACGTCGCCGTCGCGGCGGAGGACGACGTCACCGTCGCCGACGAGACTGCTGCCTTCGCGCTGCCGTTCGCCTCGGCCGAGGAGCGCGCGAGGCGTCTGACCGAGCAAGGAGAGGGGACGACGCCCGCGCGCACTCTTGACAACCTGCTGAGCTGGTGGCAAGACAAGACGTGCGCCCCTCCTGCGAGCCCGAGCACGAGCGCGAGCTGGCAGGGCCAGGCCGTGCGCGAGCAGAGCGCGAGGAACAACGGCGGCTACGTGGTGGCCCTGCTGTACCCGGTGTACCACAAACTGGGCAGCGAGCAGTGAGAGAGCGGCGGGAAAAACTCCAGCGGTTCTGCACGCAGAAAAGGCAGCTCGCGGGAGAAGCGGGAAAAATAAAGAAAAAGCGCGAATATGAAGCGCGAAAGCAGAGGCGCGCGCGAGAGAGAGACACTGTGTGAGAGAGAGAGCGAGACATTGTGAGAGAATGGACTGGATGACGGTGTGGAATAATGGCGCCCTGCCTGACAGAGAAAGAGAAAACGAGCGAAAGAGGAGCGGAGAGACTTCTCTGAGCTGTGTTGTGATGTGAAAACGATGACTTGATGGCGACCAACCTGGCAGGAACTGTTTTTTTTCTGACGAAGCTAGCTAAAAAGTTGGATAGGCATTGGAATTTTTCCGTTCCACCTTAAATGCAGCAGTAACTGCTGCAGCATTTAAGGTGGAGCGGAAAAATTCGATTAGCTCGTCAACTTTTCCGAAGTACTTGCACTTGAAACGAACTCTGGGATGAAACTTGAATGGCTGGTGTAGTTTACTTGAACATTTCTTGTAAAAAAAAAAAACTTGTTTTTTTTTGTTTGTCACTACAAAACTATTATCCTGTCACAAGTTAGACCTGCCTGTTCGTCTACACGACCACAAATCCTGCTGGATGGCAGCCATTAGGAGGACCCTGACTCACTGAGCACTACTTGAACTTTACACTAGTGTGTTGTTGTTTGTGTTTATGTTTATGAAAACGGTTAGTTGTACATGTAGCTATTTATTTAATGCTATTTATTTAATTAAGTAATTAATAATCTATTAATATTGTCCGTGTTATTTATTTGAATGTGTCTTAAGAAAATAAACATGTTGAAATGTATCTCCTTGTGTCTTTGCATTTTCTTCTGCAGCCTTAATCCAAAGTTAGCCATATTAATAGTTTTTCTGCATTTAAATACTACTAAGTAATATTATTTATGTGTAGCAAAACTAGAACTGCTATAAACTGCACATTGCAGAAATTGCTAGATTCTTCTTTCATTCTGGACATGAACATCTTAGCATCATCTCAAAAGGCCTTGAAAAACTAGCTTCTTACAGATATATACATATTTATTCATTCTTTATTAATTTGATTATATTTCTATACTATAAAATGCTAAAGACGCTTCAAAGTGACCTACCATCCTCCTAACCAACAGTGGGCTAGTCAAGAAGTTAGTACACCAACCTTACAAGAAGCTGCTATAATCACTTCCATTGCTGGAGAGTGAATTTTCTCCTTAAAATATTCAAAGTTTTGCAAAGCCGTGAGCTTTTAGAGCCATATTTAGTTTGGTTTGAAGAAGGGAGCTTCATAAAAGTGACCTAGCATCCTCTTAACCAACAGTGGGCTAGTCAAGAAGGAACAAGCATCCAAGCCTGGTGGAAATGCAATCTTAACCTTACAAGAAGCTGCAATAATCACTTCCTTTGCTGGAAAGAGATTTATTCTCAAAATATCAGCAGCTTTGCAAAGCAGTGAGCCTTCAGAGCCATATTTAGTTAGGCTTGAAGACGGGAGCTTCATAAAGACCATCTATAACATCTTCATGAACAGTGAGTTTACAGCAGCAGGCCATGCCAGATGTTTACACTCGGTGACCCCTGGCATCTTCTTCATCTAGCGGACACTAGGCAGCTGAAACGTTCCTTACTGTCGTTTAATGACTAACAGGCTATGAATGTGGACGGCAGCTATATTGGTGAACATAAACCACAGTTAGGACTGTGGAATTACTGGGCTCATATGGAACTAAAGCGTGCTACGGTTCAGACGGCCAGACACGGTGACGGATGGGTCACGTCTCGGGTTTATAAACACTTAACGCAGCCAGTTGTGGCTGAGAGACTATTGGGAAGCCGACGTTAGACAGGGAAGCGGAAAGCTGTAGTGTCTCTAACCTGTTCGAAGGCATGTGACGGTCTGTGATCAAACATGGCTGCCTGACCAAAACAGGCCTGAGGGGAATCAGGCCTTGTCACCACAAAACTGTTTTGAGAATCAGTCTCTTTATGTTTACACTGGCAATGGAAAAGCTGAGCACTCTTACAGTTTATGACGTCTGGACGTAGTTTAGTGAGGATTACTTTACATGAAGTCTGCTATGAGCAATTAAGCTTCTTATGTTCCTAATGGGATGCAAAATGGAAAATACTAAGCCACTCAGGGCAGGAACATTTTACAAATGAGGGATGTTGAGTGCTAGCTAGGTGGTAAACAAGATCAAGCTGGAACTCACATGTAGAGCCTCAAAGAAATTGGCTATGAAAATCAAAAAGTAAACGATAAATTTGGGTGCTAAAATTTGGTAGTTCCAAAATAGCCGACAGGGAAGGGGTGTAGCCAGAATTTCGGGTTGGAAGGGGGCAGCTGAAAAGCATTATGTCTCAAAGACATCGCTGTGGTGAGGCTGACAACCAATAACTAACCAAAGTGATTGCTGACCTTGCCTACATTCCTAGAAAGAGGGTTCTGTATCGCACACTGCTATATTGAACATTCTTGTTTTTCAAAAGAACTACATACAACAGGTCTTTTACCAACACAAAGAACCAATTAAATGTAGTAGCTACAACAGTTGACAGCACACTATGGCAGGTAAAGGCTAAATGACCAGAGTCCTCCACGCTTTAAAAAGATGATTCTTTAGTAAAGGGAATGGTTCTGTTTAGAACCATGGGTACTATATAGAACCATTTCAGGCTTAAATGGTTCTGTGCATGGTGAAATGGTTCTTCAGATTGATAGATAATGTGTTGTACCCTCTTAATCATGCAAAGGGTTCTTCGAGTGTTTCATGGTTCTATCTAGATCCATTTTCTTTACTAAAGAACCCTTGAACACTCAAAGAACCCTTTGTATGATTAATGTTCTAATAATATTATGATGTCAAGCTTGTCACAACAAGAAACCTTCTTGGTGCTATATAGAACCATTTTCAAAAAGGTTCTATGTAGAACCAAATATCAACGTAAAGAACAATTTCACCATGCAAAGAAGGTTCTTTGAGTGTTCATGTTTCTATATAGAAACATTTTCTTTACTAAAGAAAACTTAAAGAGCCATCTTTTTAAAGACTGTATATGGTTCTATATATATATACATTGTAACAATATTAGAACCCTTTTTGGTGCTATGTAGCACCACTTTCAAAGGGTTCCATACAGAGCCACATACAACATTCTCCATCAATCTATAGAACTGTTTCACCATGCAAAGAGCCGTTTAAGCATGAAATGGCTCTGTACAGAGCTCATGGTTCTAAAAAGAACCACTTACTTGAAGAACCATCTTTTTTAGCCTCTACAGAACGAGGTGCTGATGTGTGGAGCAGATGTTTAGTTAAATGGGGAAACGGTGAGTGTTGACAGAGTGTGGAGGTGTGTAGGCATGATGGAGTGGGGGTCTCAGTGAAGGCCCGGAACACCCACCTATCCAGACTCCAGTACGCCACTGAATGAGCTGCTGTGGTGTTGAATGAATATGTTCCACTGCCAGGTTTAATCTACAGATTAGTCCTTCTTTCCCTACAGCTCACAGTCTCCACTGTCATTAGAACAGCTGCCTCTCAGTGTTTGTGTTTGACTGGGTCTGTATTTCCGTCTGTCCGTCTGTTTAGACTGAAAACAAGCGAAACTACACTGTAAAAGTGGAACAAGAAGACATGAACGTTGCTTTGATATAATGAAACTACAGTTCTGTCTGTCTTTCAGTGAATTTATGTGTGTTTAAAATATTTTTTAGGTTGGACTCATGAGTCATTTTTCCAGCATATCTTCAGAGAAATCCAGTGAGGGGAAAGAAATAATTAGACACTTTTATTTTTGTTACTTACACACTTGATCTCTTTAGACTAAAGTCTTTTTGAATATTAACAAAAAAGGATAAACAAAGATATTGTCGCTGTCCAAAGACAAACATGTATCTCCATTTTTTTCCTGTATCTCTTTTTTTTACTTTTCCACATCATTTGAGCACAGCATTGCATTGTGTGATGTTTCATGATGATGTTACAAGTTCCATGATGAATGGACCAATAGAAATGCTCCAAAATCACTTAATAAAAACCTGACTTATGAGTTGTGAAAGAAGGGTTGTGTGGATGATCACAAGAACACCCACAGTGAAGCATGATGGTGGGAGCATCATGATGTGGCCTCCTTTCTGCTTCTCTGCTTCATTTTTAACCTTTAATCTTTAGATATACTTATACATACACATATACCTTACTGTGCAAATGTTTTAGGCACTCGGGAAAACTATTCAGAAAACTAAATTACCATAAGCACACATAATATTAATATAATACGTCGTGAGTTTATGTATGTCAATGTGTTTCTTTAGCCATTTCCACACCTCTCCTCACGGAGGCCCAGTTTTATCTGTAGTTATCTACCAGCATCTGGTTAATTAATCAGTACTTCATTATGTTATTCAGGTGATGGAATTTCTTAAATCTGGAACCAAATTTTGTACTTATAAATATATATCTACTTTTTTTGAAAAGCACTTGAATTCTTGTTACTTTTTATTTCTGTATTTATGTTTATTTGCATTCAATCTAATATATGGTTTTTATACAAGCAAAAACACATTAATCACCAAGATATACGGTTTTATACAATGTACCAAGCCTTTATTTTTAATACAGTGTCTGAATACGTTTTCCATGATTCATGTGTTTATTAAACATATCTTTAGTTATGCTTATGAATGAACAGTTATTCATATTCTTAAGTGCAAAGTCGAAACACTGAGGTGAACTTGAAGTGGGTTTATGAACTAGATGCTTATCAGATAAGAGTCTGAATGCTTGTTTCCTCTGAGCCACATCACTGTGCACTTACACAGTCTTACACAGTGTTACACACAGTGTTGCAGACACTGATTAAATCACTGAAACTGTGTGTGTGTGATGGACTTTACCCAACCACTTCCTCCAGGATGTTGCATTCTCTGCAATATTACCATAACCCTGAACTTCTTCCTTCATTACACTGCGTGTGTGTGTGTGGGGGGGGGTTATCTAGGAGTGTTCAGTGAGTGTGTGTGTCCGGTCGGAAGTTGTGGCCGACGTCCCACAAAGGAAATCACACTTATACTGGAATCTCCCAGTCACAACACACACACTCATTAAAGAAGAGTTTAAGAGTCAACTTCCCCATTTTTACTGCACGCAAAGCCCCCCCCATCTCTCTCTCTCTCTCTCTCTCTCTGTGTCTCTCTATCTCTCTTTCTCTCTCCTCCCTTTCTATCCCCCCTCTCTGTTTGAATCTCAGTGTCTCTCTTTCTCTCTCTCTGACTCCCAGTGTCTCTCTCTCTCTCTCTCTGTTTGAATCTCAGTCTGTCTCTCTCTCTCTCTCTCTCTCTCTCTTTCTCTTTGACTCCCAGTGTCTCTCTCTCTCTCTCTCTCTGTTTGAATCTCAGTGTCTCTCTCTCTCTGTTTGAATCTCAGTGTCTCTCTGTCTCTCTCTCTCTCTCTCTTACACACACATTCCTGAGTTGTGAGTAATCAACTCCAGTACACTCCAGATCGGCCTGGCCTGGCTAAGCTCAGCACAGGATGGGGGAAGGAGAGAGAGAGCAAGGGAGGGAAAGAGGGGTGGAGCGGAGAAGGTGTAGCTCCTGAAGGAAATGGTATGAGAGAGAAGGGAGGAATAGAGAGAGGGTGAATGCCTCTATATAGTGAAGGTGTGTTAGGCTTGTAGAGGCATGACCACAGACTCACTGTGCAGGGCAAAATACTCACACACACACTTGTTTTTATACGTCGTCAGGACGTGGAGATATATATGTGCACTAATATGTCCCATATGTGTTTTATGTACATGGAAGAA